CAGTACTTCTCGCATATTATTCTCAAATTTTTGGGCCATTTTCTCAGTCTTCGTGGTGGATTTTTCTAGGCCAGACATTTTCTCTTCTACATCTGAGATTCTATTTTCTGAATGATCTAGTCTGCTTTTAATACTTTCAAGGGAGATTTTGACTTCACTTCATCTCTAGCAGTTCCGTTTGAGTCTTTTGTAAAGTGTATAATTCCTCTTTTAGATCTTGCAAGAATTTCCTCATCACCTGGAACTTGTCAGCTTCTTTCTCCTTTCTCTTTAGCAGTTCATTATCTCTCTTCTCTTCCATCTCTGTTAACTTCGACATTATGAATACTCTAAATTCCTTATCAGACATTTCCATGATTTTCACCGAACTGCTTGTGGATGAAGAAGAGTTACTATTTTCCCTTGGAGGAGAGGTATTTTTCTCGTTTTCCCATGTTTCTCATGATCCAGTGGTGATTTCTTGTCATCTGATGGATGGTGTGTTTCTTTCAAATTCTTGAAGTTCAGCCTGAATGTTCAGGAGCAAGCAGACAGAGGTGATCTAGAATCTCTTTGCCGTTCTGCTGTGATCGCACTAGCTCGTTTGCTGGAGGCTGAATTATCAGTAGAAAATCTTCATTCCCTGAAATATCTAGTTCGCTGGAGCCATGTGGAACCTTCTTCTGAAGGCCTGGCCTCTTCTTCCTCACAATGATTTTTTTTTTGAAAAACAGTATAATTTCTTATGAGGTACATACCTGATAAGGCTTCTTCCCAAAATCATACTGACAACCTCCTATACAGTGAGATCTATTTGGAATGTTCCTAAAATTACCACTCCATGATTTCTCTCTTTTTGTGGCATAATTATGTTTTTTTAAACAATTTTTAAACATTTTTTAAACATTTAAACATGTGACTCTAATTTAGGGGTGCCCCATAAAAAGACATACTTAAGGTAGAAATTTGTCCCAGCTTATTGAGTTTCTGATGAAAAATAGTATCGTAAAGGGGAGCCAGCAGATGGTATAGTGGTTGAGGTGCTGGACTCCCACATCGCTGACTGTGGTTCAAGTCCTGAGCCTGGCAGCTTGCTTTCTCACTTTTCCTTTCTCTCTCTAGTTAAATTTAAAAATAATGATGATTAAAAATAAAAGTAAATAATTGATTTTTCAAAAATTTTATCATAAACAATATAATATTGACATAAAATTTGACAGAACAGATTAGAGAGCTCAGAAAGAAACCCAAACACATACAATCAGCTACTTTTCAACGATGGCTCAAAGAGGACACAATGAAGGAAATGATCGTCTCTTCAATAAATGGTCTGGGAAACTGAATGTCCATATGCAAAAGAGTGAAATTGTATTCTTGTGTTACATCATACACAGAAATCAATCAACTCAGTTCCTTAAAGACTTAAATTTAAGGGACCAGCAGTTAGCGTAATGGCTATGTTGCTGGACTCCCATGTAGTCGACCGTGGTTCGTGTCCCAGACCCGGTGGCTTAAAACTCATGCCGGGTGCGTTTGCGTGCGTGCCCATGATCCTGAGAGGAAAATGGTGAAGGGATTGCGGCGTGACCATCCCCCCCCGGGGGGTGATTTCTCGCTTTCTGTCTCTCTGTCTCTCTCTGTCTGTCTGGCGAGCCCACGCGCCCTATAGTGAAAACCTCTCCAAAAAAATAAAAAAAAGAAAAATGAGGCAAAGTACCTGAATAGGCATTTCACCAAAAAGACATATAAATTTGCAGCAGGAAATGAAACATGAGAAAATACTCATTATAATTAAGTATTAGAAAAATGCAAATCAAAACCACTGTGAGATATCACCTTATACCTATTAAGATGATTATTATAAAAGAATCGAGAGTTAACAAATGATGGTGAGGCTGTGGAAAAGAGAGCCTTTTTGTTCCCCTTTCCAGGAATACAGATTGGAACAGCCAGTATAGAAAAAAATGTATGGAGATTCCTACATAAATTAAAAATGGAATTACCATATGACTGTGTAATCTTTCTTTTGGGAATATGCCCAGATTAAGTGAAATCCACACCTCCTAAAGCTATCTGTGTCCCCTTGGTCATTGCAGCATCATTCACAACAGCCAACACGTGAAAACACCCTCACCGTCTGTCAGAAAGTGAGTAGACAGAGACCAGCAGATGGCATCGTGGTTATGTCGCTGGACTCCCATGTACCCGACCCTAGTTTAAGTCCCAGGCCTGATGATTTAAAACTTATGCCAGGCGCATCTGAGTATGTGCCCAAAATCCTGAAAGGAGAATAGAGAAGGGATTGCAGTGTGGCCTTCCCCCTGGGGGTGTGATATTTCACTTTCTCTCTCTCTGTCTATCCAGTAAGCACATATGCTCTATAGCAAAAATGTATCTAAATAAAAAGGAAAATGAGTGGATAAAAAATTACATACATACACACAGTGGAACTATTTGACCTTAAAAAAGGAGATCTTTCGGGAACCAGGAGTTAGCGTAATGGCTATGTCGCTGGACTCCCACATAGTCGACCGCGGTTCGCATCCCAGACCCTGTGGCTTAAAACTCATGCCGGGCGCGTGTGCGTGCCCAAGATCCCGAGAGGAGAAAAGAGGAGAAGGGATTGCTGCGAGACCATCCCCCCTGGGGAGTGATTTCTCGCTTTCTGTCTCTATGTCTCTCTCCGTCTGTCTGACGAGCTCACGCACCCTATAGCAAAAAATGTCTCCCCCCCACCCCCCAAAAAAGGAGATCTTTCCATGGATAAACTAGGAAAATATTATGCTAAGTGAAATTCACTACACACATAAAGAATTGCATTCTCTCACTTACATGGGACATCCTTTATTAAAAAGGTCAAATACTCAGACATATAGAATAAACCGGTAGTTATCGTGGGCGGGGAGCTGGAAGAAAGAAATGGGAAAATGTAAGACAGAGGTTACGGCGTAACAGATATGTAAATGCATCTAGATACACACAGCATGAGGCTATAGCTAATAAAATGACAATGTATTTGGGATTCCTTCTAAGTGAGTAGAGCCTGCCTAATAAGATAAATCACCTAAAACCTTCTTTAAAAAATAGTTACTTGAATTAACTGAAGACATGACAAACAGGAAAAAGATGGCATTTCAAGAACCAAGTTGCCTCAGTATCCCTCATAGAGGATAAAGTTTTCCATGTATGTGCCAGGGACCCCCAGGGAGACCCTTTCAGGGAGACTGACATACCAAAACCATTTTATAATGATGCCATGCATTCTTCGCCTTTTAGAAAAATGATTACTACGAATTTCGCCATAGGGTGCATGTGCTCGCTGGAGAAACAGACAGAGAGAAAGGGAAAGTGAGAAATCGCCTCTCAAGGGGGATGGGCACACCACAACTCCTTCTACTCCATTCTCCTCTTGGAATTTTGGACACACGCCCTGCCCCCAGGGTGTTTTTCAAGCTGTGGGGTTGGGACTCTGACTGAGAAGTCGGCCCTAAGCGATCGAGCGCCTTGACCGCCATGCTGCCTGCTGGCCCACTATTTGCCTTTTCACTTCAATATTCTCACAATTACATAAGCAAGCTTTCCAGCAGACCCATGACATGTGAACATACCGTTATTCTGTGGTTAATGGAATGTTTCTCTACCTTCACCCCGCATAAATCCTCTTTGGAGTTTTCTTGGAATCTCTTTGTAAGACTAAAGGAGTCATGAGACAAGTTTGAGAACTAATGACTCCCAGAATACATGCTTAACTTGTCACTGTCTGGCCTTAAGTCATATTTTACCACTTTAATATAGTACAGGAAACTTACAAGGTTGTTTTTCTCTTCTTTGTGTTATTGTTGTCACATATTTTTATTTTACATATATTAAAAACCCTACAGTGCAGTTGTATTTTTTCTTTTCCTTTAGCACTTTAAGGCCATGTCCTGACATTCATTGATTCTGATCAGAAGTCAACTGTCACTCCTAGGACCAGCAGTTGGCATAATGGCTATGTCACTGAACTCCCAGTCACCCGCGGTTCGCGTCCCGGACCTGGTGGCTTAAACTCATGCCGGGCGCATGTGCGTGCATTCCCGAGATCCCAAGAGAATGAAGAAGGGATTGTGGCGTGGCCATCCTCCTTGGGGGGGGGTTATTTCTCGCTTTCTATCTCTCTGTCTCTCTCTTTCTGGTGAGCACATGTGCCCTACAGCAAAAACCTCTCCAAAAGAAAAAAGTCAGCTGTCACTCTTCACTTTGATCTTCTGTATGTGATGTGTCCTCCATCCCATTCCCCTTCACCCTGGATGCTTTTAAGAAGCTCTTGTTATTACAAATTTTTGGAAATTTGACTGTGAGAGCCTCTGAGTAATTTTCTTTTCTTTTTTTATTTTTCTCCCTTGTATCTGTGGGTTTATAACTCAACCTGGAAATGATTTGACCCATTGTTTTCCTTTCCTGTGTGAGCTTCCTCTCACATGTACAGTAATCAGTCAAAGATTCAAAGTGAGCCCTCTGGAGTTTTCTGGAGTGTGTTTTCTCAGGGATGCGTATGCTCTCTCTGTCCAAATCCTTATCTGCTACACTGATCCTCACATCTAGATGCTTCAGGGTTCTCAGACTCTTATCTCTTCCTCCATGCAGTGAGACAGCTGGCTGTGTTTTGATTAACCCTCCTTTGTTAATGTCTAGACACCACCTCCAGGAACTAAGCTGACCAGTGTAGGGCTCACACCATCTGTTTCATTTAATCTTCACTACCTGTAGTCCAATGTTGGGAAATTATTGCTCACTATATTTCATTAAGTTTTCTAGTAGGAAGGACAGTGCCTGTGGCACCCTATCTTAATCAGTGAAAAAGAAGTCATGGTAATTTATTTTATAAACGTATCAGTCCATGAAGATTTGGGAATAGCACTGGCCCTTTCCATAGATTGGGAAGAACTGCATCAGGTCATGTTTCCTCTAAGAGGTGATATGCTGATCAGTCTTGGGAAATGAAAAGAACCAAGATATGTAAGGAACCGATGGGAAACACAATGGGCTTTCTAGATAGAGGAATCTTTCTCTGGTCTATGGGATCCATAGGGACATTTGCGAGAAAAAGTCTCACACTATTCCTCTTTTTTTTTTTTTTGGAGTGATTTTTGCTATAGGGTGCATGTGCTCACCAGACAGACAGAGAGAGACAGAGAGACAGAAAGTGAGAAATCACCCCCTAGGGGGGATGGCCACGCCACAATCCCTTCTCCTCTGTTCTCCTCTCAGGATCTTGGGCACGCACGCACACACGCCCGGTGTGAGTTTAAGCCACCGGGTCCGAGACTCGAACCGCGATCGACTACGTGGGAGTCCAGCGACATAGCCATTATGCTAACTGCTGGTCCCTCACACTATTCCTCTTAAAAGTTGTGGAATTTGGGTCAGTGCAGCAGCTACTGTTATGTAGAAGAGACCAGATCCTACATGGCTGGCCACAGTTCAAATCTTGTTCCTGATGACAACATGCCTGACACGTGTGTGTGCCTGGTATCGTGATGGGATAGAGAAAAAAAAAATAAAAAAGGACTGTGAGGTGAGCAGTTCCATGGGGGGTGCCTTCCCTCTCCCGCTCCTCTACCTGCCTTTGCATGCGCTTATGTGCTCTTTTATACCTAAAATTCATAAACTTTTAAACAGCTGTGGAATTTTTGTCTGCGGTAATCCTAGTCCCAGGGTTATTTTGGAAGCTATAGCTGTGCACGATGAAGAAAATATTAATTTTCTTTTATTTATTAATAACTTTTTTTGTTTGCTTTAGGGTGTATATGAGAGAGAGAGAGAGAGGCAGAGAGGAGAGAGAGGGAGAGAGAGAGAAACAGTAAGAGAAAGTGAGAAATCACCCCCCAGGAGGGATGGTCACATTGCAATCCCTTCTCCATTTTCCTGGGATCTTGGGTGCACACACACTCATGCCCAGCATGATTTTGAAGCCACCAGGTCCAGGACTCATACCATGGTCAGCCATGTGAGAGTCCAATGACATAACTGCTTTGCTCTCCGCTGGTCCCCTAGAAAATAATAATATAATATTGCCTCCGTCATAGTTGTGAAACCATAAAATGAATATACTGCTTTTTTCTGAAAGTTCTACCCCATTTTGGTGCATCTTCCCCTCAAGCTCTCTTACTGGATCAGACACAGCTGTGGTGCAATTTCCAGGGAAACCACCAGGAGGCAATGTTTTTTCAGATGTGGTTTGTATTTGCATAGAGGTGGTGATTGACAAGTATATTTTCTTTGCAGAAGCTACAGAGACTATTGTGCAGAAAACGGATCTTAGTTTATGAGTGAGGACTTTCTCCAAGATCCAGCAGACTAGACTTACAGGAACTGGTGTACGGCAGGGAGCAAGGATCATTTCTTCTAACATGCTTTCTGTCACCTGCTTAATTCTTATGATCTTCTTAATATTCGGTGAGTAATATTTTATCCTAAACATTAATGATATTTTATTTTCCTATAATTATTGTAAACTTTAGCCTTCTTCCTCAACTGAAACTTGCCTGCTGTAAATTTCAAATATAACAAAGCAAATTTTATTTACTTATTTATTTTTAGGAAGGAGCAATGGAGACTCAGTGACTCAGACAGAAGGTCCGATTTCTCTCTCTGAAGGGACATCTCTGATTCTGAACTGCACTTACCAGGTTAGCGGCTTTCAAACTGTGAACATTTTCTGGTATATCCAGTATCTCAATAAAGCTCCTCAACTACTCCTGAAAAGCTCAAGAGAAAAACAGAGGACAGAGAATCAAGGTTTTTATGCTGATTTTGTTGAGAGCAAGAGCTCCTTCCACCTGCAGAAACCCTCCGTGCAAACGTCAGACTCGGCTGTGTACTACTGCGCTCTGAGAGACACAGTGAGAGGGACTCCTGGGGGAGCTGAGCACAAACCAGAGTGGGCAGATGGGGCCTGGGCGTGGGAAGTCCTCTTAGAGTTATATTATCTCCCTGTGCATTGTTTTCCAAAGGAGATGAACACATCTTATGTCTAATTCCTAGGAGATTGTGAAGTGCTCTGCAGGAAAGACAGGGTGATGTCAGTGATAAAATGAATCCAAGCTTCGGTCTCCAGAAATGTCCATGCTGAGACAGCAAGGCTTCTCTCTCTTTCAGACTGTAAACCCTTCCATAAAACATACTACTAAGAAAACCTTGACCTGGGATCAATGTCTACCAAGATATTTTAGCCACTTAGCTATTTAACATGGCCACGGATTTGTGCTCTTTATGAAAGCATTTAGGAACCGAGTGAGGGACATGGAATCTGGTCTGTATCATCTTGAGTAAGTCTCTGCAGCTAAGATAGGCTTTGCCTCTCCCCGTTCTCCTTGCTGCAGAAAGTTCAGCTCAACTTCCCATCTAGGTCTCACTTCATGAAGCTGCTCAGGAAAGTGCTCTGGAAGCACTCTCATGACAATGCA